CCGGGATCAGTCCATTCTGGAGGGGGGGTGTCAGGGCCAGTCCACTCTTAAGTGGCGGGGGGGTATTCTGGGCTGTTCTATTCTACAGGGACCTCCAGGGCTTGATGGAGGGAAAATTCAGGATCAGTCCATTCTACAGTGGACGGAGGGGGTCATTCAGGACCAGACCATTCTGCAAGACCGGGGTGGGGTGCATTCTGCAGGTGGTGGCGGCAATTAAGCGTTGCCCCATGTGCCCAGTTATGCATTGCCCCATCTAGAGAGCTAGATAGTCTATAATATAATACAGAACATAGAGTGTAGTGGAATGATAGAGAATATTCTGTACAAAGAATATAGATTATACAATAGTCTATATATAAACTATAGAATAGTCTATATCTAGACTATAGCATATACTAGAATGATAGACTAGTCTATATTCCACCTTTCAGCTATTTTATATAACTGCCTCCATCCAGACTGGGGCCCCCGGTTCCAGCACTGGGCTCCCTGCACACCGTGGGAGGCAGAAAGGGGGTGCATGCAGGCTGGTCTGGGGTGACCGGGCCCAGCCTTGAGCCGCGGGGCCCGGTCAGGCCATGCCTTTTTTTTTTTTTCTTCTTAAAAACATTTTATTAGAAAACCAGACCGTAACAAAAGGCTCAAAAACGACCTCCAGGAGAGGCCTCACAAAAGGATAATACAACAGTCCAAATAACATACTAAAAAAAACATCGGAATTGGTATCATATTGCACGTCATCTCATTTGTACACAGTATATACAAACATCCCCGAGTAGTGTCTATTGAACACAGATTACACGCATCGTGTTAGACATCCTGTACTTTCCCGGAAAAAGAAAAGCGAGAACATACAGGTCCCTTTGTTGCCTCTATCCCATGTACGACCCTAGCCAGCCTTGTCTACCCACAAAGGCTGACTCTTAGTTTAGCCGCTGGAGCCCAGGCTGCAGGCGCTGCTCCTGGGCCAGTTTCAGGCCAGCCCGGAGGAGTCCGAGCTAAACCGGACCAGGCTAACAACCCGCAGGGAGCTGTGGGCAGGGCTGGGATGCTGCACGGTCCAGCTGCAGAGGCCCTAAGAGGACCCCTGCATTGCACACTTGCATTTCACTCTGACCCTGCAGTCAGGCACGTGTCCCAGCCCCGCTCACCTCCGGTGCATCCTGAGTGGCTTTGCTCCCCAACCTGCCGGGGCCCGGAGCAGCTGGGTGGACAGGTTGCACGCTGCAACCTGTGCCAGGAAGAGCCGGGGGCTGCCGTGACGCTGCCGTGACGCTGCCGTGACGCTGCGACTCTCCTCCAGCCCCACGGCAAGGGCAGGAGGAGAGTCGCAGAATGAGACCCTCAAGTTTCCCTCTGGCACTAATGTAAAGGTGTGTTTCTGGGGATCGGGCATATGGACTAGACATCACCAGGCCACACTGGGGGCTCCAGGCAGAGTCCAGCACAGGTGGCTTCGGCAGAAAGTGCAGCAAACCAGCCTGTGGATCCCGCTGGAATAACCTGCCCAGGAGCAGCTCAGCGATGTCAAACAAGCATAGTTCAGTCAAGCGTCGTCTTTGCAAATTCTCCTGCCTGGGCATCCTTCCCGGCACGGTGCCCCGTGCAGGGGGAGCTCCAGCTACATGACACGCAGGAGCCGAGCCTCTGGTCTGCACTGCCAAAGTGCCGGGGCTCATCAGGTAGCCAGTCAGTGCTATGCACTGGTGTCCTTTCCATGCCATGTGCCAAGGCTAGCCCTTTATCGCATGCACATGGCTCCCGGCAAGTTGGAGTTTTCCACGACTGCATCGTTTCGACGTGCTCGATGTATGCACAGGGCTGCAATTACCGCATCGAGCGCCAGCCGCTCAGAGCGTAAGCTTTGCACAGAGCCATGCCACGCGGCTCAGCCGCAGCGGGGTCTTGGCGATGGCTCAGATGGAGAATGGTTTACATATTCATGGTCTAAAATATTCTTAAAGTGGACAGAGTTTCAAAGGATGCACCTGCAGCACCTGCATTTCAGGATAACGGAGGGCCAGGAAGGATGGTGCAACCTGCTCTGTTTAGACAGACACTTGAAAACACATCCCTGAATATCACCTCCATCTCAGACTCTGGGACTCAAAGTCAGCCCCGCGCGGGCTGGTTGTCCCCATGTTCATTAGGTCTAAAATTTGGTGTGGGCATTTGTGTAACTTGTCCAGGGTCCAACAGGAACAAAGCTGGGATTTCTCAGCCCTCATTTCTGCAGTTTCTCTACAAAGCCGTTTTCTCCCTCTTCAACTGCATCTTTATGTTTTCAAAGGGAGTGCATTAAAATCTCACTGAAACCCTGGAAATTGGAGACTTTCCATCTCTTTTTTTTCATGTCTGACATGTGGTTCTCATTAAACGCTTACAAACCCAGGAGCTGGGCAAAAACCTCAGTTTTTGCCACTCTTGCTTCTCCTGTTGCCCGTTGCGCTCCCTGAAAGCAGGCTTTGTGCGCCACCTCGCATTCAATGAGCGAGGCAGCCTTTCCAAAACACAGCCCTGTCCAATTTTTAAACAAAAGCACTTGTGTCAACTGTATACAGCTGCACGCCTCCGCAGCACTGGTGAATGTAAACTGTTTTGCTGGCTGTCGGCACCGAAAGCCCATCGTTATGCTGGTGGACCGGGTTCCTTTCACCCCTTGAAGCCCTTCCTTCGAAGGAGTATTTTATTGCAACTTTGATGGCATCCTCATGGCAAACTCCAAGGAAAGCCATGGGAATCGTGTCGCGTGGTGCTAGCGAGGCGCCCATTCACCACGAGCCCGCGTCAGGTTTCGCCGCAGCAGCGCGAAGGTGGTGGTGGCACGTGGCCATCGCACGCGTTGACTCTAAGGGGCGTTCGGTGGTATCAGGCAAGCATTAGGCCTTCAGGGTTTGTACCTTTCTGCCTTGAGCTGTAATGCCCGCTGCGGGTGGAGGCATTACCGGGAGAGGCTCCACGCTCGTCTTTTTCCACCCGAGCATGCAGACGCTTGTGTCCTAAGAGCATTTAACGTGTGGGAAAGGTAATGTCTAACAACTCCCGCAGAAGGCAGCTGCCAAAAGGGGGCTCGTTTCTAATGCAGCTTCAGGCAGAGCAATCGGCGCTCAGGTTTTGCTGAATGAGGCATTTGGAGGGAGACAGGGCTGGAACCGATGTCCCAAACAGGAGACAGCACGCTGCACATCCTCTCGCTAAGCCGCTGCATCCCCTTGCAAGGCTCTGGCCAGTCAAACCTGCAGGTTAAACCTTTGCTTTGCTCCCATTTTGACACCAGAATCCCTCTACATCATAGTGGAGAGCATTACCATGGCGATCCTTTCTGTAAGTGGACGGAGAAGCACTGCCAGCCTCCAGGCTCCGGGCAAGCCGTGTCTGCACCAGCCCCTGCTGCTAGAAGGAGCCATTCATGGGATCAGTCCTACTCGGCCACTGCTTCCCGGGGCGGGAGCGTGCTCGGCTGCCGGTGGGGATGGGGCTTGTAGGCTGAGGGCGATGCTATGAGCGTGTTTGGTGCGGCGAGACGGTCAGAAAATGCAGCACTATCGAATTCCAGCCCTCTGCCGTCAGGTATCCGGGTTGTAGCTGCATTGGTTTAGAGGAAAAAGCAGTCAGGACTCATAGTAGAGATGATATCTTTTATTAATCCGACAAGATGTTTGCAAAAAAATTCTTTAAATTAAAGAAAAATTTTTGCAAACATCTTGTTGGTCTAATAAAACCTCTGCTGAGCCCATGTGAGCTGGGGGTTGGGAGGCTGGGAGCTGGGCCAGGTGTGGGTGGATCTGCTTCAGACAGGCTGAAGTCACATCCCTGGCCTTGCAGCAAGCGCCCTGCCACATTTCAAGTCCCACTGCCTCAGCGTGGAAGTCCCAGACCTTCTCACCAAAACGACTGTCTGAAATTTCCAATGGGGCAAAACAATGGCTGTGTCCCTTGTTTTGAAAAAGCAAGACGTTTTTGCCAAAAATTTCCAGAAAGAGTTGGAAAACCATGGAAAAATTCAGCTCAAGCAGTTGAATTTTGACAGACTATAGGTACTGAAGAAAAAGCCTGACAGTGAAAAGGGAAAGACAGCTTTCATTGCCTGTGATACCTATTTTTAAAGCTGTTTTTTTTTTTTAAATGATACATAATTCTAGCAAAGCATTTGAATGGACCTTCAGGTTTGATACTCATCAACACATCAGCGTCTTTCTTGCAAAAGTAGCTTTTGGGCATATTGGCAGAACACAGCCTGGCTTCTTCTGTAACATACCCAGGGAGAAAGCAGAGTAGATAGAGATGCATCTTATAACTGAATCAGAGATGCATAAGCTTTACCCCAAACTCATATACATAACAGGCCAAGCTAAATCCTACAGGTTAGATTCAGACACGTAATCAGGTGCTAGTCCATTAATACCAAACGATGGCCCTGACCCGGCAGACTGACACACGTTTCACTTAATGCATGGCAACTCTGATTTTGGGCATGGATGGATGTAGTAACTGCACCGAAATCAAACAACGTAGGCTCTTAAGATGCAACCGATATGTCAGCAGGCTTCTAGAGTGATACAGGTGTAGCTGAGCCCTTAGTGATTTAGCTAAGATGCATCAGCTGATGCTTGCTAATTAAAAGGTAGGTTTGTCCAGAGCCTCAGGACCTGTCATTACAAGCCTTTTATCCCCCTAAACTGCACGGGACCATCACAGCTGCTCCAAAATCAGCAACGTCCCTCCAACACGGTCATCGGCATTGCCAGTTCTTCACCTAAGACTTAACTGTATAAACATCTTCATGTTCATTTAACTGTGTCCCCACTCAGAGTCTGCATTCATTTCAAGTATTTAGGTGTTCTATAGGACAAACGCCCCCCAAACCGCGGTGCAGACCAGTGTTTACAGTCCGGAAAGCACAAACCTGGTCCTGGGGGAAGGGAAAAATGGCTCTGGCTGTTAATGGATCATTTTTCACAAGCTACAAATTCCCCAAAGAAACACTGAGAACAGGAAACACAATACTGCCAAAGTGACAGGTTGTTTTTATTCAACGCCATAAATCGCTGCAACGTTTCAGCAGTGCGACCCGGACACGAGCCGGATGCAACGCTGGCGGCATAGCCGAGCTGAGCCCTCTTACAGCTCACCGTGCTAACATCACAGACACTAAACGTTCTGTTTTTTACACCAGTTTTGTAGAAAATCGTGAATTCCTTTGAGTCTTCATTAAAATAGTCTCTGAGATCTTAAAAAAATAATCACCTCTTCAGCTTTAATGAAAATAGACTTAAAAACTCATAGCACTAACTTTTCTGAGGAAGGGAGAAATTCAGTCTTGGCAAGGAAGTAGGAGTGCCCTGGAAGTGAGGTCTTCTGAAGTGTGGACGGGGAGGAGAGGCTCCAGTTTCTAACTGGACTGACACCGATAACGTGGCACATCGGGTATTTTCCAGGTGCTTCTCCAGCACTGTCTAACCCACTGCAGCCAAGCGTGGAGAGGCTGGTCACATACGTGTCAGCGCCCACGCCCAGCAAATGGGCAAGTCAGGCATAGAGATGCAGAGCACGTGGTGCTGTGATATCAGGGCTGGGATCGGACGGTGAGTTTCCCCGGCATTTGCAACGTGCCGCGATGCGGGCAGATTTATTTACAGGAAACCCACCGGCCTCAGGAGGGCAGGTGGAGGGGTGTGAGATCCAGCTCCTCCAGTGAGCTCTGTGCAAACAGTCGGGCAGAGCTCACGGCAGGATCGGGACCTCAGCGGAGTTAGCCCCATCCCATGTCTCTGCTGCTAGGACTGTGGTGTCTGAGGGCCCTTTCCTCTGCCCACCTCCCCCGGCCGTCGGCCCATCTTAGACCCAGGGGATGGGATAAGAGGCGCAGTCAGCAAGGCCACACATGTTCTTCCCACGCTCGATGTGGAAGTACCTGAAAGCAGAAGCAAACCCGTGTTAGCAGGCATTCGCCCGCAGTAGCCCAAGACATGGCTGATGGAGGCACGAGGCTGTGCTGTCCCTGGGATCCTGGTACCACGGACACAGCCCCGCCGGCACTGCTGTGCTTCAGAGCCGCTTCTGACCTAGACCGGGGTGGACGGGGGGCGCAGGGGTGCACCCCCCTTTGATCCCCGCTCCACCCAAACTTTAAAACCAGCTGCTCAGGAGGGCTGTGGCATTTCTATTGTATTCAGGCAGCACTGAGAGAGTCAATTGACTTCATGGCTCACTATCACCCCCCAAAAAAATCAGCATCCTGATTCCTGCTAATCTCTCCTCACTCCACAGGTGTTAATGACCCTCTCTCGTTTCCACTGCTATCGATGTTGCACTATTCAGACTATCTTTTCTTCTGCAATGCTGCTGTTAGGCCTTTCTGATCATGTCTCTCCCATCTCACAGCCCTGCAAACTGTTTTTAGCTCCAGCTAAAAACCTTAAGGTGTGGGCGTATGAACTCAGGTGTGGAAATGACTGACAGCGAAGCATCTGTGGCGCTGTCAGGATGCTCCGGAAGGCTAGGTTTTGTTCGGTGAATCTGTATACGAGCTTCAGTTTCCTCTGTGCAAAAATGAAGTTGATTTCCTACCTATGGCGACTTGTTACCATCTGTAACTTTCCCTGAGCCTGACGAAAGGTATGTGAGCCCAAAAGCTTGCAGAAAAAGATCTGTTTTGGGGTTTTTTTGCAATGTCTCAGTTGGTCTAATACGAGGTACCCCATCTAGATCCCATCTAGATTTTTGCATTGTATAAGAGAACTATCGTGACCACAGGGCAAATGACACAAGAGCTGTTGCCCTGGCTGCGGCCACAGCTGCGGATGGTGACCAGGTGTCAAAGCTCCTCCGGAGACTCCTGCAGACCCTGCTGCTGGGATGTCTCCAGCGTGTGTGAACGACCGCAGCGGCAGCAGTTCCCCTGCTCTGCGTGTGGCAGTTTTGGGTGTGATGCCTCATGTTGTGTCAGGGCTGGCTGTGTAGTGTTGATAAGAAGTTAGACGAGGGATCTGCACAGGGCGGTTTGCACAGGGCTGACCCTGCCTCAGGCAGGGACCGGTCTAGACGTGACCGCTGGAGCTCCTTGCCAGCCCCACGGCATTATGATTCCAGGGCTATTTTGACTATTTTTCACCTAGTGTTTTTTAAGCTTTGTATATAACCCAGCAAATGGGGGCACATTCCAATAGTCATACTTATTTTTGCTCTTGTCTTAAACTGAGTAATACAGCGCTGCCCCTAGAATATCAGTAATGCTTCTAGTTTCTCTTTAGCTGGAGAAAAAACGTGCGGTGTTGCACGTGACCATGCGCCACACCAGCTGCACCCTGCTTCGCGAAACCCCAGCTCTGCCAGGCCTAGACCCACCTTGGGATCTACCACATGTGGGATTTCACCCAGAGACGCCCTCCCGCACACGGCTCGCCATCACAAGCCAGTGCAGCTAGTGCAGATCCAAGCGGAGCCCAGCCATGCCCTGGCCTGACACACCTCAGCACGAGACACAAAACAGGACAAGGAGCAATGGGCTCAAGCTGCAGCCAGGGAGGTTGAGGTTGGATGTTAGGAAAAACTTTCACTAGGAGGGTGGTGAAGCGCTGGAGCAGGCTTCCCAGAGAGGTGGTGCAGCCTCCATCCTTGGAGGTGTTTAAGACCCAGGTAGATAAAGCCTTGGCTGAGATGATGGAGTTGGGGCTGGTCCTGCTTGAAGCAGGGGGCTGCACTAGATGTGACCTCCTGCGCTCCCTCCCAGACTGACTCTCCTATGACCTGGGTTGCAGACAGGCCCAGGGAGCTGGCTGTAACCCCCAGGGAAGAATTGCCCCAGGAGCTTTGGGGCTACAAGCCAGTGCAAAGTAGCTGCAGCAGAGGACGAAAACTGGACTCAACCCCTCACACTGAGAGCAGTTTCCAGAGCAAAACCTCAGTGCTAATTCCTCAGCTGCCGCCTGGCCTTGTCGCCCTTAGCAAGCCCGGATGACCAGCTGCAGCGGAGAACTGATCAGCAAGCCGTCGCCCCGTGCACGGGCCAGAGGGAAAGTGGCTGCGGATCGGATCCAACAAGACCATGGTGTGGGCAGTGGGCATGGGCACTGGTCAGGGGCTGCTTACCCATCCATGCCCCAGTACGTGCCCCACGAGTTCTTGACGATCCAGTAAGGCATCCCGTTTTCCACGCCATATCCGACAGCCAGGACCGCGTGGTTCACCTTGTCCGGGGTCTTCTCGCAGTGCGGGCTGCACACAACAGATCCACATAAAGCAAACGCAGTTCACGGAGCCTCCTCCTCGCTCAGCTGAGAGCACGGGCTAGCCCCAGCTGCCCCCGACCCTCCTGTGCTGCTGCCTCATGTTTCTGGGAACCCGGTTATTTAACTCCCAGCTTCCTTCCCCTTTTAACTTCTGTGCAAAAAAGCCAGCAGAAAGCAGAACAAGAAACCAGCCACCGACCGGCTTCAGTGATCTTAGTCCCAACAGGAGCTACAGATTCGTACCCCATTACCCGGACTAGCCCCTCCAGGTGCTAACTGCCTTGTTCATCTCAGCTGATCCAACCGACCCCCTTTTCTACCTCTCTCAGCAGCGTCTTTCCTGCCCCTTCCCGTCGATATAAAATCTCTTCTCCCCACTAGTCCATTCCTAGCTGCTGACAAGCCAAGTGGTTGTCCACAAAGGCTCTGTAAGAGTGTGTCTACATGTTCATTCATGCACTTTGGCTAACGCACATTAGATTTAGTACTTCCATTGTGAGGTACATTATCCTATTTTAATGCACACTAGCGAAAGCACGCTTTTTTTGGTGATGCTTTAATGTGCATTAAAATAGGCTAATGCACATTAAAGCACGTGTATAGATGCAGCCTAAGAGACTGCGTGGGCCTGGGGAAAGATGAGGCCAAAAGGGAACGGCAGTGGAAAGACTGGCACTTCTTATTCAAGAGTCATTCAGCCCATGCCTTTGTGGTGTTCACCTGGACTGCAAATGAAAAGCAAAATTTTATCTTTTGCAGTTGTTGGGGGGCAACACATTTGTGAGAGGATGATTTATGTTTTCAGACCTTTATCATAAGTATCATTTAAAAAATCATGCCTCTGCACCTGCCGGTCTCTCAGGTGCCACCCCTCTGCTAGGGGCAGGAGCAGGGACTGCGCTGATGGAAACCTGCCAGGGGAAAAAGCAACTCCAACATGGCTCCTGTTCGCGGCCTGTCCCGCGCCCGGGGCACTCACTTGGAGTAGATCCCTTTGGAGTACTGCATGAAGTCCTCGGTCACTTGGAAAGCGAAGCTCACGGGGTTGTGCGTGCCCACGGCCTGCATCATGCCCAGCTCGTCGTACTGCAAGGAGACCGCTCTCAGCATCAGCTGCATTTTGGCAGCGGTTGCTACAGCCCAGAAGCCCCGTGCAGGCGGGCGTGGGGAAGCTGGCAGAGCACGTCAATGCTCTTTCCATGTACAGGTGAATTAGGAGAGGGGCATGGACTGAGGACATGTGTGCTCCCCACGCTGGGCATCTCCAATATCTGCCGAGCCAAGCTTGCTCCCAGCAAATCAGAGACTCTGCTCTGACTTTGGGGAGTGGTTGCAGACACCGAAATGCCTGAATTCTCCCCAAAAAATGCACTCGCCTGCTTTTGTAATGCATCGTCAGAGCTTGAAGATGGAGCCAGGGAAATGCAGGGAAACCCCTCTCTCTTCCCAACCTGGTTCATGAACAATTCCCACGGGCCACAAGCGAGGTGGAGCGGGATCTCCCTGGCATGGGACCTGGTCCTGAGCGTGCACAGACTGTTGTGCATGTGTTAGGGGCATCATGCTGCAGGCGCGATGGAGAAGCGTGTGCCAGGAGGTGGGGGCATGCTGGGAGCGGGGAGCTGGGATGAACAAGGGCAGCAGAGAGGAGGGAAACGCACTGGAGCACCCCCGAGCAATGCGGGACACGTGCCCCCGCAGCACCAGCTGCCAGTGCTGTAATTAGTGCCTGGAAACCCTCCCCCAGCCTGACACCCACACTGAGGACTTCCAAAAAAAGAAGAGAAACAAGCTATTTCCAGGTGCAGCCGGCAGCAACGGAACATACTGACTGCCGGGCGCTAACGCTGCTCCTCCCATCCACGGCGGAGCGGATCCATGGATCTGGCCCCTCTCTGCACCTGACACCAGTGGGAGTGGGGAAGAGCCTTGCAGAGAAACACCGCTCTCATAGGGACGGTGCTCATGGCCGCCCTGGCAACCCGCCCGGTCCCCGAGCCCAGGGGCAACCCGCAGACTGGCCTAACTGGGGCTGCCGGGAAGGAAGGCTTCACGGAGCCTCTGCCGGTTGCATCTGATCTCCCAAACTCACCAGAGTGATGTTGACGACCTCCTTGACGAAGGCGATGGCCTTGTCGGGCTGGAACTTGCAGGTGCCGTTCTGTGCAAACACAAGGGAACGCGTGTTAAACCCTGCTCTGGCGCTAGCACCCGGGGTGCCGTGGACGGCTTTGCTGCAGTGACAAGGATACCTCTGCCCGGTACGGGTACGTGTCCTCTCCCATCAGCCCCTTGTTGTACAGGATGTACTCGAAGGCCTGGCTCGGCAGCCCCCTGCAAAACAGCACAGCAGAAGGGGGACTTAATGACACAAGAGATGCTGCCAGATGAAGGCACGGCTCTTTTCCCTGCGAGGATGAACCTGGACATAGCTGCGCTGTCTGAGCGCTTGCGTTGGGGGATACATCCGGTGCCCCCAACGGCAAGGCACAGCCTCCCCTCCTAGCCCTTGATGCTCCCCGGGGCCTCCGTGCCACGGCTCTCCCCTCTTCCTCAGCTCGAGTGGTAGAAAAGGGCAGTAAATGCCCTTGGGCCCTGCAGATCCAACTCAGGCCAAGCCCAGGGGAGACCCTGGGGTCAAGGTCACCCTTGCTGCACAGGTCGGGTCCTTCTGCTGAGTGTGCTGGGCCCTTTCCTGGCTGCTCTTGCAGAGGTGCTCAGTGGGGTGGTCTCAGTGCCTTGTGCTCTTGCCTCTGCCCAGTTTGGCCCCTGCGCCTCAGAAAGGATCTGGGAGAACTAGAGAAGGTGCAGAGAAGGGCAGCAAGGAGGATGAAGGCTATGGAGGGGCGACTAACGAGCCCAGGCCTGGTCTGCTTAGATAAGAGACACCTGATGGTGAGTCATGATAAAATACGAAATGGAGAAGAGAAAGACAATAGAAGCTTATCACTGACTGTCTGTCACAAAATGAGAATCAAGGGTCACAAAACGAAATCAGGAGGCAGCAAATTCAAAACTAACACAAAGGTTTTTCACACAGCGTGGCGTTAGCGTATGGAACAAGATGTGGTGGACACTGACAGCTGAACCAGCTTCAAAAATGGGGCTTGGAGGAAAGGGCCATCAGTCTCTGCTCTCTGCCATTGTGAAACAGGAGACTGGGACCTAGGTTTAACCCAGGGAATGGCAGCTCATATGTTCTTGGGTGCCTTTAATCCTCATTAAATTAAATAGGTTTATAAAATTTAAACTTGCTTATTTTGGAGCGTTGCGTCAGTGTTTGCACACACTTGGCTTTCAAATGAATTAAGCCCAGTCTCCAGCTGGCGCCTCAAGAGAGCAGGATGGTCCAGTGCTGCCCCCCTAGCCTGGGATCCCCCACCTCATACCCCATGCCCGTGCCTATGCTGCAGGGAGCTGGCAAGCTGCTCCCAAAGCTTTTAAGCCGAGGTTACACACACCCTCATCCAGGATGGTTGACAGGCAAGGTAGTGATGCATCTTGACACACTAACTAAGGCACATGGAGAGAGCACAAGCTTTCATGAAACCAAGTTCATGCCACCGGGTGCTGTGAAAGACCATGCAGAAAGCAGGGTGCAAGGAGGAGAGGGAAATCACAATATGAAAGATGGTTCAGACAGGGCTGGTCCTGCCTGGAGCAGGGGCTGGACGGCTCCTCCTGCGGGGCCTGCCAGCCTGGCTCTACGATTCTAAGGGATTTCTTAATTTTATTTGATTTCATTTTAATTTAATATACTTTTATTTTATTTTTGCAATTTTTACTTTGAGCAACAGCAGAAGGAATATAGGGGATCCATGTATTTCTTTTTGTCCACTCTCAACTCTGAGCCTGGCTGACAGATGGGCTCCAGCGGCAGGGTCACTGCCAAGACCTTGTTGCCTCTGCCCTGCTGGGGGTTAGGGGCTGGCAGCTTTGCCATCAGCAAATGTACTGCAAAGTGTCTCAACAAATGGAGACGCTCTTTCATCTGCAGGAAGGCAGGCGTGCTGGTGGGCAGGGCTCAGCCTTGTTGCGTTAGAAAGCTGCAAGTTTAATTGACACTGGGCACATCTACACAAGATGCTAACTGTGCAATAGCCTAATAACACTGTGTAGTAGCATGCAGGGCAAAACCATGCTAGTACGCTAGTGTGCAGTAGTATTAAGCTACCGTGCACTTATCATCACTAAAAGCTGTGTGCTGGTCCTAACCCAAGTTACTGCACATTGATTTAGTTTGGCACTTGGTCAAGCAAGTACTAAACTTGATGCGCAGTAACGACGGTGCATTAATGAACATGTAGACATGCCCACTGCAAGTGGTGGTAGAGCTCGGTAGGGCGTCAGAGTATCCACCATTGTCAGCCAGGCACTTGTTATAGAGCAATGCACATGTGTGCACACCGGGGTTTCAGACCGCCGGTATTACCTGGTTAAACTGCAGTCCAGGCAGCGGGCTCGCATGGGAGACACTATTGGGTGTTTCAGCGTTTGGTCAAATGTTCTGGGCATTTTCCCCCCAAGGTACAAATATTTCACCCTCTCTAGCCCCCTTCTCCCTTGAGATAGGACCAACGTGGTGCAAACCCCAGACAGGCCGCATCCCAGGTCCTCGGGATTT